AGGGTTGCAAAATAAAAATGATGTGGAAGTGTCATGTGACCTTAACATTATATTCTGATTCATTGAAATCAAAACGGCTTAATCAATGTTAACAATTCGAGAAATTTCGCGAGTTTTCATGCGAATATCACAGAACTCTCAAGTTCTCGAACCAAAGGACTAGAGAAAGTTTCCAGACATTATGGAAAAGTCAAGGAACTTTTTCAAGTTTTAGAAAAAATTCAAGTTTATGGAATCGTCGAATGGAATTGTGGATAAATTATGAATGAGGAGAGAATACTCAAAATTAATGTAAGGGCATCAGAGTTGTTTAGATAATATATTGGAAGACAAAAGTAATTTCCGGATTGTCTATTCTATATCGAAACCGAACCGTCCAGGTTATTGAACCTTAGAGATTGTGGACGTAAATTTCAAGATCTGAGGCTAAAAACTGAAAAATCCATTCAATTGTCAAAGTCATTTAGAGGATGAATCATTTATAAGATATATTCATGGTGTGATTGAAAAATGTTAATAGCTTTCTTACGGTATATATTATGAATTATGAAATAAACTTATCAAGAACTGACAATTCCGATAGCTTTACTGAAATATGAAGTTCGCTGTTCTTCTGGTTCTGCTCAGCTGCTGTCTCTGGATAGACGCTCATTAGGTGAGACCCTAGATGTATCTTCGATAGGTATAATGACAATATTTTTTCAGTACTTTCATTAAGGGGTAACAAAATGCAGTTAATTTTTCAAATTTTTGAAGAAATTGCCTGCCGAAAGTTATCGATATTTTTAAAAAATGAAGCACATTGATCTCCAGGAGGCGATGATGAAGATCAATGCGAAAACTAACTCTCATGAGACGGTGTACAAAAGCTATTTTTATTTGCTTACATAGGACTAGCAGTCCTATGTGAGCAAATAAAAATAGGACATAGGACTGCTAGTCCTATGTGAGCAAAGGAATAAATATAATTGATTCTGTCCCAGCAATTTTACCCAGTCCACTGTGTAAAAATCACGCAGACGGAATTAAATGACTCCCTCGAGATTCCAAAAAATCCTCTGTGGTAGCAGGTACCAACCGAACCAAATGGTACGAAGATATCGAATGGAAAGATCATATAAACGAGCCTCTACAGGTTGGTAACATTTGTCTCATAGAATTTTTCTGGTTCATATACTTGCCTCCATGTCGCTGGATCAATACTTTTTTCAATTCAACGACATTCAATTAATTTTACTTCTTTTATTCGTGTTTTGCACAATAGTTGGAGTACACAATCTAACGATATGATTCGGACTTATTAGGACGCGCCCGGTGAGATGTTGTAATTAAGGATAAGGATCAACTTGGTAATCGTATGGAGATACATCCGAATCAATTGTGGTCTCCATTGGTACGAGAACTTTTGAGAATCGAGACATTCCCATAAAAGCGGTGAACAATCTTATTCTATTGGGTGTGTGAATATGACTCCACTCTTTTTTGTTCAAATAAAACACATTTGCTTGTTTAGAACATTAATGAAAAGTTTATTGAAAGTATGCTCCATTTGCAGCTACAACCTTCGCCCATCTTTCAGGTAATTTACGTATTCCTTGCCTGAAGAAATCCTGGTCTTTTGAGCTGATCCAATTATCAAGCCAAATTTTGATACTTTCGTATGGAGTGAACCGTTCTTCGGTAAGATCTGACTGCAGTGTTCGGAATAAGTGGCAATCCGAAGGAGCTATGTCTGGCGAATATCGCGGGTGGAAGAGCACTTCCCAGTCCTGTCCATCTAAATATCTTTTGACAACTTGGGCGGTATGCGGTTTGGCATTGTCATGTTGAAGAATTGATTTACTGTGCCTATTCGCTTCAAACGCATTAGTTGTCGTCGGTAAACTTCTCCATTAATAGTTTGAGAGGGTTCGAGCAACTCATAATATACAACACCTCTCTGATCCCGCCAAATGCAGAGCATAACCTTGGCACTGTGAATATTTCTTTTTGGCTGGGATGGGCCGGGTTCACCTGGCTTCACATAAGCTTTTTGGCGTTTAGGATTCTCATAATATATCCATTTTTCATCTCCTGTGACTATTCGATGCAAAAATCCTTTTCTTTGCTGTCTTTGAAGTAGCATTTCACAAATTCTTTTTCGACGTTCCATGTCTCTTTCTTTCAATTCATATGGAACCCAGTTACCAACTTTTTGAGCCATTCCCATTGCTTTTAAACGATTTGCAACAGTTGATCGTTCAACATTTAATGCTGCAGCCAATGCTGATTGAGTTTGGCAAGAATCCTCTGCCAATAATGCCTCGAATTCAGTATCTTCAAATTTTTTTGGTGGTTTTCCATGTTCTCTGTCCTCAGTGTCAAAATCATTATTTTAAAATCGTCGAAACCATTCCTTGCAAGTTGTATTAGATGGAGCATGCTCACCGTAAATCTCCACAAGCAAACGATGAGTTTCCGCTACACTTTTCTTTGCAATATAATAGTATAATAACACTTCCCGCAAATGATGTTTACTTGGAACGAAAACCGACATTGTCACGGAGGTAAAAACACTTGTTGCTTACATTTCAACCAAATGTCACGTAGTGCGTTTGACAGCTGACATAAAGTACTATCGAATACAAGTGTTGCCATTTATTAGTGCACGTAAGCAATAATAAAAACGACATCTGTTGGGAAAGGGCGGAGTCATATTCACACACCTAATATTTATTAATTTGGAAGAACGTTTATTGATATATGAACGATTCAGCAATTTCCTCTTGGGAAAAACTTACTAATGATCATCCCCATCTATTTCCTTTAAAGGGAACGAAAATGCTCAAGCCAGATCTTCTTGATGACTCGTTCTGCAGAAACTTATCATTCTGGGAAAGGCCACATTTCAATTACAAACACAAGATTTTCCTTAATGAGACGAGCGGTGGTCAAACGATACTCACCGGTCAATTAGTACTCCCACTCTAATAATGAATTGAGATTATATGCATTCAATAATCAATGCCAACGCTGATGAAGAACTTTAGTAGAAAAACTTAGCGAATTCGCTAGACAATCCTATTGGATTTCTATTGAACTTTCTATTAGTTTTTGGCTGATTCTATTAAAATGTTCAATAGAAAATATTCTATAGAAAAAGTCAAAAGAATTCGATTTTTCTATACAACTTATTCTATCGAGATATTTTCTAAAGAATTTCTTCGGCTCAAATTTTCCAAGGTTTTTTGTTTGATTTTCTTGATGAGAAGAAAAGAAAAATGGAATGAAAAAAACTTGGAAAATTTGAGCCGAGGAAATTCTATAGCAAATATCTGAAGAGAATAAGTTATATAGAAAAATCGAATTCTATTGACTTCTTTATTTGAATATTTTCTATTGAACACTTCAATAGAATCGGCTAAAAACAAACAGAAAGTTCAATAGAAATTCAATAGAATTTTCTGATGAATTCGCTAGGTTTTTCTATTAAATTTTTTCGTGCGTGAATGTTCAATGAGGGTTGTAAATGATATTGAATCAAAATAAAAAACTATACTAAAAAATCACAGTTGGAATTATTCCAATCATTAGTCGTAGATAGAAGTCTTTTCATGAATTTGCAGTAACCTTCTTTGAAAATAAAATAATAAGGAACTGTTAACGGTTATTAAAAAAATGTAGCGTTCATACCAAGTAAGTGAGGGATGAACAACAAAAAAATGAAACCCTGATGCAGGGATCGGCAGTAATCATTATTTTTCCTAATATTACGACTATGATTACCAATATTAGACTATTGTTGGTTTGTTGGTAAATAAATTATATAATTGACTATGTATTCAGTATTTCAAATTATCAGGTTGAAAACTGAATTGGTAATCAGTAAACCAATTCTCGAATTGGCAACTGACCAAATAATGGAAAATTTACTGGTTGTGATTAGCAACTATTGGAATAATTGGAAATTGGTGAAGTATGATTACTGACTTATGAAATATTTGAGAATTTGTTTACGTGATTATTGATTTTAAAAGTAGTATAATAATTTACAAATATGGACTCTAATTTAGAATATCTAAATTTAATGGTAATCAAAATTTGTAAATATGACGATCCCTGCCCTGATGGTCTGCACTTATTTCCCTCAATTTACGAATTAATTCACTAAAGACACTTTTTCTCTGAGAAAAAAATCAATGGCTTCTCCACAGATTCCCATTGGATCTTTATTCACTCAAACTATCACGTTGAATTTTCGTTAAAACTGGATTCCTATGACTAGAAATGGTCAAAGCGACCTAAGTGGCTGAAAATGAATTTAAGCCATTGCAACCTCTTATTGAATTCTCCATTTTATTATTTGCAGGCTTGGTTGATCCCAGTGGGACCATTGGCGAAGAACCATTTTGTTCTGAAGAGCTTAAAAAAGCTAGCAAGGACAATTGAATTAGCTCTGTGATTGAACAGTATTCCACTGAATCTTAAAAGAAACCTTAACTTAATCTGCAGAAAAACAAGTTAATATTAAGACAAGCGATGATGAAGTTAGAAATTCAATAGAGATCAATAAATAACGAAGTATGACACATCACGACGTGTGGCCCAAGAGACGTATGAACCTCCTGACGTGTGACCCGCGTCATCAAAGTCGTCCAGCACTCAGGAGAACAAGAAGGAATGGTAAGAACTTCTGCAGGTATTCATAGGTATTTTCTTTTCAAGTGGGAGACAATCTCCTCCGATACCTTTGTCTTGAAGTGTGTGAAGGGTTACAGAATTCCCTTTACGTTTATTCCTTATCAATCATCCATTCCTCCAGAACTTATACTCTCCGAACTAGAGGGGGCTGTCCGGAGAGCTAAGATAGACAGGTTGGTGGCCATTGGGGAAATTGAATTGACATGTGTCCCCTGCCAGGATCAATTTGTCTCATCGTACTTTCTAATCGATAAAACAAATGGTAAAAAACGATTTATTTTTAATCGAAAAAGGTTGAATAAGTTTATTAAATCTCCTCATTGGAAGTTGGAGGACATGAAAACAGTTCTGAAACTCATCTCTCGTGATACCTTCATGTACGAAATTGACTTGAAAGACGCATATTTTCTTGTTCCGGTTCACACAAAATGTAGAAAATTTCTTCGTTTTTCCGTAAGTGGTAATTTGTTCCAATTTACCTGCCTTGTGGCCTTTCAACAAGCCCTCATACTTTTACAAAGGTGATGAAGCCTGTTATGAGTGATATGAGTGATACAAACAATATTTTGCGGCGCAAAACATAAAATACACTTGAGATATTGAAAAATGTAAACGCGAAAAATCAGATGGCTTTTCTTTAGTTGAATGTATTGATGGTTTCATTAACACAGAAATATAAATGTACATTGTATTAAATATTCAGTAGCATACTAGTCCCTTTTACTTTTTACTAATACCTTCATGTTGCAACTGAAAAATGTTTATCTACCTATTTTATGCTTATTTGTTATTACTACTAAAATATTGGATACGCTCTGTGCACTATAAGCATGGGTGACCATCGGACTTTATAGATTATTATGCTATATGGAGTACATGTGCATGGACTTGGAGCCATAAGTACAACATAGCTACAAACAATATTTGTAGCTATTGGTACAACTTTTTTTTTCTTTATTCTATTGGTACAACTAGACGTGGACATAGGTGTAGATATAGCTTTAGCGAAAAGTATGTACATGTATTTCTGAATTGAAAAAAATGCAATCCCTTCTACGGAATATTGATTTTTTTTGTGAAACAATCCCGAAACGTTTAGAACTATCGGAATCAGGATGGTGAAGTTAACTGGCGAGTGGAGTACTCACGATGATTAAGTGGAGATGATTGGAGTGACTATAAGGGTCAAATAAATTGGATAAATGAGAAGTAATCACAAGAATCAAACAGGGGATGCGAGTGAATTACAATCGTCGAACTAGTAACACGAAAGTGTGTCATCATAGTAGTAAAAATTCTCTTTCGATACTTCCAGCCATTTTCCCCGTTTGAGCACTCCGTCTATGTCTCCTGCTTGACTTTTGTGATTATTCTATTCTTCACCTTTATTCGACCCTTTTGCTCACTCCAGTCGTCATCCCCGCTTGACCCTTGTGATTACATCATTCGCCTTTTTTGTTTGACTCTGTGGCATTTCGTTTCATAAAAACTCCATTAATGACTTTCCAGATATATTCAAGACGATTCAATTTTTGCGGTATCACCAACGTTTCCTTTTTCAATATTTGGCTAGTTTATAATACTCATGCGTCAGCTACCGGCCGTGTTGGGGTCCTTAAATTTGATGAAGAGAGGAGATGGCGGTAATAATAAGGCTGTTTATGTCGACTCCTGCCTAACTCTCGGTGAAAACATGGAGTTCAGATCAACTGCGTTTCCACTGAAACTTATGTAGGGGTAGAGATAAACTTAGCTGTACTTGATGTGACTTCAAGTCCTGCAGTAAATAGTCCCATAAAGTAGTTAGTGCCCCAGGTATATTTTAATGTATTCAATTAGGACATTTGCAATTGTGTCTATTTGTGATGGCAGAAATCTATTTTTTTTTTGGGACGTTTCAGACATTTCTTAGTTTTAACCCTCGCACACTCGCGCTCCGCCGCCAGCTTTCATCCGTTGCACGGTTAGCGCAGTGCCGCTGGGATAAACCGAGCGCATTGTTGCCACTTTGGCGCTTACCGCTACGTGCACTTTTCAGGGGTAGTAGTGAATGTAACAACACTGCCGCTCGAGCGGTCGACAGGAACTCACTCGAACCGAGCGGAGCCGCTTTTCTGTCCGTTTGACGTTTCTTTTCTTTTTTAGCTAAACAAAAAACGGACAATGCCAACGCTTAATAAAAGGATTGAACTAGGAACTCTAATTTTTTGAGAATTTTTAAGTGCCGTGAAACACGCTAAAATATAAAAAACCGAAAACGGGCGGCACCGCGCTCACTGAGCTTCTTCTTTTTTTATGGCTGCAGTGGCTTATCGGCCGTTATCCCTTTATGGGACATTTCAGGAATTAGGAGGTAGGTAGGTCGCTTACTGAGCGAGTGTTCGAGGGTTAATCATTATTGCACGAACCGCTGAGTCCTTAGATCGCTAAATCGACTCCCCGCTTCGATGACCTTCTGCGGACTGACCGCACTTTGGGATGGTGAGTGGGATATCATGGAAATGCTCTCAACGCATTCAAGGCCATTTTGTAGTAGTGTGCGTGCAACCACTGTGGTTCTCTTATGGCGCACTAAGGCACTGACGGATCGCTCATTTTTCTCACACGTAGGCGATTGTAGATGTTCATCGTTCAATAGGTTAAACGTTCCAGTCAGAGTTGATTGAATAACTAAAACCTTTGAATGTTTTACAAAGACAATTTTCAAGCCGGGTCAAGTGTGATGCATAATTTAAAAAGTGCTACGTTATTTTCTAAGATGTCGGACCAAGTGTCCCCTTTTACCTCTTATTTTGGGGCTCTTATTTTGGAACCAGCAACGACTTGCAAGTTGTTGCTAGTTCAAAAACACTAATCGACTCTTACGTAACTAGACTTATGTTACACCGTGAGACTATTTAGCTAAGACAGGTCACATGTCAATCGCGTTGAAATGGAACCTGCCGGTCCCTCAATGGAGTGGTTCGGGCTCAGTATAAAATCCTACATTTTAGGTATTGCCTATCGTAAAATTGTTGAGGCATGAGTATTAGTTGAAGTTTTGTTCCAATGCAAATCCGTAATACTTGCGAGAATTATTCTAAAGGAATTATATATTTTCCCCTGTTCTAACAGCAAAGTTTCAGATTTTTATCACCATTCTTCGTACTGATGTAATTATTCTCTCTACATATGCATAGAAACCATGTAATTTAATTGTCTATTTTCTCGTAGATAAGCAACCTGGAGAATGTGAAGCCATTACTGAATATTTTTTTGAGTGAAATCTATAGAATCCATGCGAATCTGGACTGTAATCACCGTTTTCGTTGCAGTCTCGAAATATTGCTAAGAGAATCTACTTCCAAAACAAAGATCGGTTGAGGATAAGAGGAATCGTTGGATAGTTAATGCACAAAGTCATGAAATTTCAGATTGTGTTCAGAGTTGCAGCGATATCAGTTTTATGATTTATCACCATTATCATCTGGCTAAAATTACGAATCCAGAAATATAGTTCGCTAAGAATCAATAACAAAGAAAGCAAAATAGTTCATCTAAGACCGAAAATTTAATTACTATACACTCATCCCAAAAACGAGTGATTTTTGGTGGAAATATGAGTAAAGTTTTCTGAAACTAAGAGAATTTTCTACTCATAATACATTTTAATTAGTTCTGTAGTAATTCCCAATATGCTTCCAAAAGTTGATGCAGAATGAAGTTGTCTTTGATAAATCGAAAATATTCATAAACTGAATTCTGACCGACATCGCTGCACTCAACGCAAGTGCAGTATGGAAAAGGTTCTGAGTACGATTCCGACTGGGGTTATCTAGTAGAAATTTATCCTTCCGAGCGTACCCCCACTCTACATAATTCCCACTCACATGCTTGGACCCCACTTCAACAATCCACGGATATTCTTCTCGAAGATAACCTACAGGCGTACTGGCGAGATTTTAGTCTTTGAGTTGCATATAACATAATGGTGGGGGGAATAGGAACCGAAGGGTACAATCTCTCCAGTACGACTTTATATATTATGGGTGCGTTTCGGAATCAACTACCGTAGCTGCAGTAAAGCAAAATTAGATAGGGTTGCAGTACTGCTACTGCTACTACACTGATAGAATGATTCATTTATTCCAAACGAGATTCGTTAACTATTAACGAATGGCAGAGTTGAATATGACCAAATGAATATTCGTTAATAGTTAACGAATGGTTCACTTGAATGGCGAAAATCAAGTCAAACAAGGCTCCTCAAATATACATTCGTTAACTATTAACGAATGAACATTTGGTGAGACCGAATAGACCCTAACCTCCCACCAAAATCCATTCGTTAATAATAACTAATCCGTTGTATCAGTGCAGATCCAAAGAAGGCACGATTTCAAACCATCCGATATGGTCGCCGTACCAATCAAGAGGCTTTCAATTCGATCGTTTGCAATTATTTCTTCGGAAACTTGTTTTTCAATGTCGCAAAAAACTAGAAAATATAACGAAGAAAATTATATGCCGTTATGTATACGAGAAAACGCTTTAACCCTCGGTCACTCGCGCTCGGCCGCCAGCTCTCATCCGTCGCACGGTTAGTGCAATGTTGTTGGGTTAAGGGTGCCAAGTGAATTTGAAAAAAGATTCAAAAAATTTTTTTTCTTTCCTTCCATCATTGGAGAAATATGTATTCATCCATCCGACGAAATTTCAAACCCGCAACCGGAACTAGACATCGAGAAAATAAATGCGGAAAATCCTGTATTTCGCGTGACGAACCTCGAGAAAGCATGGGATCAAATGGGTACGGCGAGTTGAAATATCTCTCTTATTCACCCCGATACCCCATTGTTTCTTGTCGCCATCACATTGAACACATCATTCCCTATATCTTCAAATTTTTTCAAATTTTTCTTGAATTCCTAGGGGGTTGAAACGTTCAATTTAATCAAAACTCCATAAGAGGGCGTGTATAAGACCGATTTTGTTTATTTAATTTTTCGATATCCATAAGTTCTAAAATTTTCAAATTATCACCGATGTTCACCATCTGTCTAATACTATTAATTTAAAAAATTATAACTTTGTTGGTGAATGTCAATTTTCAAGGTCATCGCCAAATTCACTTGGCACCCTTAAACCGAGCTTGCTGTTGCCACATTGGCGCTTACCGCTATTATGCGCGCACTTCGATTGTGGTAGTGAATATACACTGAGAAAAAAAAATATTTTTGCCAAATATCTATTTACTTGAGAGAAGAATTTATTTTCTCAATATTGTATTTCTCCATACGAGCCATTCTCAAGCAATTCTCATTAGGTTTCAATGTCAATTATATTGCTCTAGAAGATGAACCTGTTGGTTATGACCTTGAGTGAACTCCTTCAATAATTATCAACATTAAAAAATTGTTCGAAATTTTCTGAATGATCATTGGGGAATAATCATTAGGATATTCATTAATCATGAATAATCATTAGGGGAGTCCCTCCAAGGTCATGTGGAACATAATCATCCTTTAAAGTACCATGACTGTTATAATTGAAACCTAATCAGGCTCGCCTGGGAATGACTCGATTGGAGAAATACGATTTTGAAAAAAGAAATACTTCTCTCAAGTAAATGAATAGTTGGCAAAAATAATTTTTTTTCTCAGTGTAGCAACACTGTTGCTCGAGGGATCGACCGGGACCCCCCCCCCCTTCGGCGGTGGCGCGGCACCGCTTTTCTGCCCGTTCGACGTTTCTTATCTGTTTTTAACTAAACAAATTTTCCGAGAAAAAAACGGACAACGCCAACGCTTAATAAAAGAATTGAACTTTAATTTTAATTAGAGTTCTTTAGGAACTCTAATTTTGTCAGAAAATTTGAGCGTCAAGAAACATACTAAAATATAAAAAAACGAAAACGGGCGGCGCTGCGCTCATTGAGCGAGTGATCGAGGGTTAGGACTATGAATTATTCGATTGAAAGTGGAAGTATACAGCTTTTATGGGCCCAATGTGTTAAATTTAATTTTTCAAAAATCGTAGCATTGGAAAAATTGTCGGAAACTAAGGTTGATATTGCAAAAAAAAATCTTGATCGGTTCTTATAAATTCTGAAAAGGATTTCCCCCGGAAAAATTGCCCGAAGTACTTGGATATCCTTAATCCGTCAGTATTATCGTCAAAAAATACACCTTTTCATTCTGAGTCACTAGATTTGCGGAACTTTTTTTCCATGTTAATTCCCCTAGGATTCGCGGACACTTTATCGAATTTACATATAAATCATGGTTTTTGAACACTCAAATGTATATCATTGTAAAGTTCAATATTTATCAGAATTTTCCATGGTTTTTTCTGAGATTTTTTCGTTGAATGAACGAAATAAATATTTCCCCTAGATTTCCAGAATGAAAAGGTCTATTGAGATTATGGACTAAAACTTTTTGATTGCCTCAAGCAACTATTCCTCTTTCCTCTGGGGTCAATAAAAACCGTCTAGCATGTTTCAATGAATTATAAAAAAACATATTTTATCGAACTCGAACGAGGAGCGTGAGATTCTCTCACGGCGTGAATAAAGTCGATCGGGAAGCTCGCTTGCATTGAGCGATTCCGTGATGTGTTCGGTAATACTCGGCAACTAAATGAGTCTCATGGATAGGTCGGACCTCTGTCTAACTAGTGGGTGCACATGGCCTTAGAGATTCTCCCACGGTGCGACTAAAGGTCTCGGTGCAACGGCGCGAGTGTTTACGAGTTAAGGTTATTATTTTACACCAATCAGAGTCGAACAAATAAACTTGGCGAGAAAATCTTGCGATCTAATTGGTTGTACGGATGTTTTTCCGTGTGGATTTTGTTTTACGGAAAGTCACCCTAAGTCCTCACGTCCGAAGCCCTTCTGTTACCAATCGTAGTGTGTGCTCAATACGACTCGAATTCGATTATTTCTAATAAATGGAAAATTACGAAACCGGTATCAAATTGAAGCTACAGTATTATGGTTTTCAATTTTGTTTGCCAGATCAAGCTATTCTTCATAGATTTGAGAATAATTAATTTTGAAAACAAACCTTCACATTCGCATGAGTTCCTATGGCCGCGTACGAAAATATGCTAATCCAATTCAGCGGTATAATTTTGCGCCATCCGACGGGCCAATAAATGGGATAAAGGAGATAAAACTGACGTCTGATAGGTGGTTTTTCATCTAAAGTGCCGAAAATAATGGCGTAGAAGAGTTGCTTTTTTCTTGCGATCTGATAGCTGGCGGAAACCATTTTGTGTGAATAATGTGGGAAACATTTCTGTTGCCCGCTGTCAAATTCCAAAAAAAAGTTCATTCTGACAACAAGTTTCGGTATATCTGAGAGCACCCGAGACGATTTCAGACGCAGCCTCGAAGGACAACTAATTTTTTTATGAAAGTTTTATTTTCTTTTTCCATTTATTAGTCCGTGGAAATGGTGTAAAATTTCACTGCTTTTTTATATCCCTGGGGGTTTTCACTAACTATTGGTATGGTTTTGTACTTTCAAAAATTTAATTTTGTTGAGGCTTCTTATACAGGGTGTCCCATTTGAAAAAAATGCGGCCAAATATGTCCTAAGGCGGGCAAGTAACAAAAAAATGTTTGATACAAAAATTGTAGGGTTTCGAGGGGGACATTTAATGCATTCATTATTTTGAGCTTTCAAGCTCATGCTTGCCAGCTGCAAGCACAAAGCGCTTTTTTAAAAATAGCAATCGCATTTTTCACCCCAATGAAACTTGTTCATCTTGATGATTTTTTTTCAGATACCTCGTCATTCGTGTAATTTCCTCCAATTTTACTCGAAAAATGCCACAAAAACGAGTTTTGTGGTTAAATTTGAAGATTCAAACATTCTTGGTGCACTTTGGTGTAATTATTCCGTTGATCTGTTTACCAACAGGAGCCATCAAATATAAACAATCAACAAAAAATTTTCCTACTACTTCGAGCATTCTTTTATTCTAATCAGTGCCAATTCAACCAGAATCGAGTTAGTATCATTAGTCATTTCATTAAACACATCACGATGTATGCAGTCAATGAAATTGTCAATATTTTACTCATTTGGGGATGTGTAGAGGAGTGTATCGAGCCGTTGCTTGAACATATCGAGAGTGGTACCGCAATCGCCTACATTATCCTGCAGATTCAGTTATTCGGAAGATTGAAAGGAGTTGTAGAAGAGGGAGGGGGCGCAATTTTTTTAGCGCAAGAGTAGCCTGGGTCACACTAAAAAAGTCTGAATCTTCAATTTGACCACAGAACTCGTTTTTGTGGCATTTTTCGAGTAAAATTAGAGGAAATTACATGAATGACGAGGTATCTGAAAACAACCCATCAAGATGAACAAGTTTTATTGGGGTAAAAAATGCGGTTCCCATGAAAAAAAGCACTTTGTGCTTGCAGCTTGCAAGCATGAGCTGGAAAGCTCAAAATAATAAATGCATCGAATGACCCCCTCGAAACCCTACAATTTTTGTATTCAACATTTTGTTGTTACTTGCCCGCCTTAGGAGATATTTGGCCGCATTTTTCCAAATGGGACACCCTGTATAGCTTTCTTATCATTCAAAAGACCTCAAAAAAAATTTCCAATTTTTTTCAAATTTTATCACGCCCACAACGTTAATTTTTTAATTTTGTGAGTTTTTGACAAAATGTGTCTCAACAGAGGTCAATTTTTTTAATCGGACTTTTTAAACCTATTTTTACGAAGCATATTAAAAAATTAGACTGAGACTCGAATGCGTTCTATCCAAAAATAATTTTTTTTCAAATTTCGTTTAAGAAATATTTTTCCAATTTCTAATTTTTTTTTAATTCCAAAGCTCATTATTTATGGTTCACAAATGGTCGATAAATAATGAATTTTTAAATGAAAAAAAAAATAAAAAAAGGGAAAAATTGAAAAAACATGAATTTGAAAAACAAATTTTTTAGATAGAACGAATCTGAGTCCCAGTTTAATTTTTTAATGTGTTTCATATAAATAGTCACTTTGGGTAAAGAAATTTAAGAAATCTCCAATCGAGGTAGGGGAACGTAGTACCACGCACAATTTTCTACTTTTTTGGCGATTTTAAAGCCTTTCCGATGATGTGCGCTAATTAGCATCATGCTCAATTGAACGGACGGAAAATTCCCGTTGGAAATACTTATTGCAAACCTGAAAAAAATTGCGCTGTGCTGAAGCAGAAAATGTTGTCAAAAACTCACAAAAATGAACAGTTAACGTTGTGAGCATAATAAAAGTTGAAATAAATTGAAAACAAAGTACAAAATCATACCAATAATTGGCAAAAACACCCCTATATATACAGTTTGGGGCCTTAACTTGACAACTGTACCTGCTGCTTGTGGAGTGTTCACTTGAACGATTTATCCCCATTTCCCTACAGAAAGATTTTATTTGCATAGCATTAGGTATTTGTGGTTGAGGTGTTATTCGATTTCGCTTCGTTAAACATTCCTACAAATTTTCCTCATCATAATACATTCATTCAATGAAAAATTTCAAAATAACCTGTCAAAGGACATTTATTAATGAGAATCTCCCTAGCTACAAAGTAGGTCTCCTGAAATCGTCCACAAAGATCACTTGTTTCCGGAATGAGTTACCAATGAAGGAATGAAATTGACGGACCAGGTTTAACCATCTTCTACATGATCTTTATTCGACAATGTCTATCCGTACAATACTTCATACAATCACATATAGTTTCTTTTTTCTCTAATTTTCGTCAATTGAAAGTAAAAATAAAGATTCCTGATTTCACGTAGTTCATTGATGCATAAAATAAAAAGAATTATTGGAAAAATAAATCGATTGTTGGAAGTATGAATGCGTGTGATTGATGTAAAAGTCCGCTGCTAATCAAGCACCTACGAGTAAAATAAAGAAAAAAATTACAGTGTTACTAAACAATCATGAATGCATGAGAACGTGAACAGATGAATACTAAACACTACAATCAGTCTTCAATGGTGATAAAACGGGGTTTTAGAATCTAGCGCATTAGGAAATTTGATCGATAACTATTTTCTTACTTAGGGCTATTGAATTAGTTACAGTCCACAACCACCTTATAATAAATTTTATCGAAATTGTGGATATTTGAAACCTTTCTACGTTCGTGACCGAGGAAAACTCACAGTTTCTTTTTGAAAATAAACTCATCATCATCAACGTGGTCCATTAAATACCGTCTGGGTGTTATAGTTTCTTTGACACCACGATGAGCAAATCGATAACCATCATCAATGGGCCTACCCTCAAGGATACCTTTACCCATCATTCCGGGGCGAAGTAAAACATCGGGATCATCTGGCATTTCCACGAATTCGCAACTGTTTCGCGTACAATCTGAGTCATGATCCTTACCAGATGTCGAGCTGCTCGATGATTCCAGGCTCATGGATTCCAATTGTTTTTCCAATAGAATATGTCTCATTAGGATATTCTTGGAGAAAACCTCCTGTGCGTGTTTTTCGCAATCGTCTCGCTTTTGTTTTTTGGATTTGGACTTTCTCGAGCTGGACCCATTCCTCTTTGTAGAATAGCAGCTATTTATGATGAATGGAAAGGGCTCCGCCAATGGATTCTGTCTGGAGTTCTAGAGAAGAGGAATTTATTAAACGAGTGTAACTCGTAGTCGCTTGTTCGTATAATATTGGAAATATCTCGAAAATAACAATACTCCAAGAAAAATGTACAGAGCTGAATAAATAATCCTTCATTTGGTGGTACAGTGCGGATAATCAATTTGACTTTTGAATTGGAGTTTATTAAGGATTGGCGATGTATGTCGATTGAAGGGGGACCCCGGTGAAATTTGAAAGTCTTCGGTGGATCTGGGGACTTATTGAGCGACTTTAGTAATATGACGGGATATGTTAAAAAGTGGGGAAAATCCCGGAACCAATCGGTTTTGCCCAGCACTTCCACAGGAAACGTCGTTGTTCGTGTTTCTACCTTTAAAACGTTCCTCGTTCCCCAATATTGATCAGATTTGATTTTTTTTTTCAAAATGTTCGGGAGACTCCAAAGGACAAAATTAAGCTTCTTTTTTACGATCCATTATATAGATCATGAAAAAATCGAAAAAACCGAAAAATACGAAAAAAATGAAAGAGGGGGTTTTCCTTCTGAGCGTCAACTATTCAAAATAATAGTACATTAGAGTACAAGGGCACAAATTTCGTTTTCAACGAATGTGTAGTTTACAGGCCGAGCCGAAGGCGAGGTCTGTACACACATTTGTTGAAAACGAAATTTATTACCGAGTGCTCTATAATATTTTATGTCAAGTCGTGCAGAAGTCGAGTTTTGAGCAGGCTGCGCAAAGCGCAGCGCGCGATAAACTCGACTTATTGCACGGCGCGACATAAAGACTTTTCAGGCATAATGCAAAGACAATCACAAGGGAAAACCCTTTTTTTCGGTTTTTTCGTTTTTTTTTTGTTTTTCTCATGATCTATATAATGAATCGTAAAACGGAAGCTTAACTTTGTTCTTGGGAGTCTCACGAACATTTTCAAAAAAAAAAAAAAAAAATGGGATCAAAATTAGAGAACGAGGAACGTTTTAAAGGTAGAAACATGAAAAACGACGTTTTCCGTGGAAGTACGGGGCAAAACCGATTGGGTCCGGAATTTTTCCCACTTTTTAACATATCCCATCATATAACTAAAATCGCCCAATAAATTCCTAGATCCACCGAAGACTTTCAAATTTCACCGAAGTCCCCCCTTAATCGAAAACATTCATTTTTCATGTCCAAACATCGATTTTTTTCATTCGATGTTTTCATCAGCCGATTAATCAATTTTCGATTTTTTTTCCAAACATCGATGTTTTTGACCAAGCTAACAAAATTTTTCATTTTTTTATCGAGTAATAATGTTGATTGATTGAGAATAACAAAATTAATAATCTCTCCGTCATCAAAAGTAATTATTTTCTACAGCATGCACATTATAAATGATAAGTGAACAAGTTCAGTCGTCAAAAAGCATCGATTTTTTAAATAATCGGTGTTTTCCAGAAAAATTGATTCACAACATCGATGTTTTTTAAAAACATCGATTTTTTGATAATCGATGTTTTTTAAAACATCCCCCCTCCCTAGAGTTTATTCAAAAGTTCTTTTATGTTACTGGGCCAGCCCGCGTAGAAATTCAAGTGGCGCTGCGCCTGAAATTCCGCTCACGTGCTCGAACCGACCGTCCGGAGGATGGACGCTTCGCTTGGCTAGATTCGCTAGATTGCGGTTCTCGGGCCCGTAACATAAAATGTGGACGTTCACCTGAAAAGGGCCCATTTTGCCGATATGGAGTATGCTCCGATAATACTGATGACCTTTCACACATTCCGCGCTTAAATGACCTCGATATAGCGTAAAAAAGGACTTCACTACACGGAGAGAAATATTCAAGAAAAATTACGGAACATTTCATGTAATCCGCAAGCGAGAATCGTTTTCAGTGAATTTCTATAGGAATATAAGAGAATAAATCTGAAACGTTCAGTAAATTTTCGGGTCTGTCACGGAAAAAATACGAAAAAGTCACGTAATTTTTCTGGAAGTTGTAAAATCTAACAGAAACTTCAAGACTTATTATGCCTCAGAACATGAAAATTCTTGGATGTTTAAGAATTTTTACGAAAAATTCCGGAAAAATTACGGAACGTGTTAAAATCTCCCCCTCACGGTGACTCATGGTTAGTCGTGAGGCGTCGGACGCGTCGGACGGATGAGCAATTTCTACGGAACAGATCGTAGAATTTACGTGACGATTGACACTTTTTATTGAATTTTACTTCGCTCCCAGATTACGTTTCGAAACGTAATTTTTACGTCTTTTTTCTGGTAATTTTTATTGAATAATTCTCTCCGTGTAGAGAAGATCAAAGAAATAATTCAACATTGGTTTAAGGATAATCGGGCGAGGAGGAAATGTAGGAGGTGAGGCGGAGGAGTTTTTATTGTTTTCCTGTAGAAAACCAATCGCTGAAAAAAAAAATTTCACATTCGGATTCAAAATTGAGGCAATACTAGGGAGTATCTCCGGTTAAAAATTATTTCTGGAGCTAATCAAATTTATTTGTATCTGTTTCACGCATTGAATGGTTGTCAGATTGTTTTTTTTTAATAAATGAAAAAATATTAATCCATGCGAAAAAGTGGCAACATCGGTAGTTTTTTTTTTTCACCAGAAGCTGGTACCACTGGCTCGAGGGAGCTCCAACCACAACGTTTCTTCGCTTTCTCTCAAGAGACGTTTAAATTGACCACGCTACCCCCACCCGATCGATACTTGGGACGTTGCTGCTCGTTTGGGCTGCGTGCGCAGAAATTTCATTTTTCAGTACTTTTTTCGTTATTCTTAATAAACAATGCTCCTAGGCGACAAACTTTTTCACTTAAAAAATCATTGATCACATGTTCTAAATGTGTCCAAAGTTTCATGACTTTGACTGCATTTTTTCCTTGCGTTTTGCAGTTTTTTTTGTGATTTCCATAAGATCACGGGTTAAATGACCACTTTTTCAAAAATTCATAATAAATTAACCATGCTCCCCAGCAGTCTGAAACTTTGCATACGCCTTTTCCATCATTTAAAGAATACGTAAAAAAAAAGAAAAAAATGGCGGCGGAGCTCAATATGTAGCAGAAATATGAAATGAAGAAATGGCTAGGAGTCGGATAGCTCGGTGAGGAGAGCACCCGATGCATAATCGGAAGGTCCCGGCTTTAAATCCCGGTCTGGAGTATCCATTTTTTTCAGGCTCAATTTTCTGGTTATTCATTTTGAGAATAATTCCGGTTTCCCTGCTACCTCATCCAAATCCCATCCACTTATTTCCTATGACGTCACAAAGATGTGGAACGCTATATAAATTCCCTCTAATGTAAAAATGTGGAATAGCACACTAATTTTTGCTAGAATTTTCTTTCCGTGTATTCGGGGTGTTTGCGAGATCAATGAATGTCTAGTGCGTGATGCGGTGGATACTTCTATGTTTTTTGGCACTGACTGAAATATCTTGCGGCCGTTATGCAATGGATACAAGTGAGATGGCCTGAGACAGTGTGTGTGCTTATTAACGCATGGAGTCTGTATCCACATCTCCAATAACGCTTGTCTCCAATAGCCTCGATTGGAATACATGTAGTGAGTCAAATGGTAAACAATTAAATCCTGAAATTTTTTGCATGATTGCTTACTGCGTAGATAATGACGTATTCCACCATTCTATGATTTTATGAATAGTCAACCCACTTTATCACTCTCAATGAAGTTTCTGGCAGTTTCTGAAACCATCCAGTATGTCTCAAAACTCATCGTACATAGGGTAAGGGTAGCTTGGGTCGATCATTCAGCGATGAAACCTAATTAAAGTTCTTGCCTCCGACGCTTTGTTTATGAGTTATCCGTAAAAGAAAGGACAATCCATCAAACGCTTTTCCCCAATAGAGAAATCATATCTCCTTTCCCTTTCAAGGAAGTGGATTGATAGCATTGAATGTTCAATCGATACCAATCAATTTCATCCCTCAATATTAAAGGAGGAGAGTGAAGACATGATTTTTTTAAGTTGACTTTGATTTTCAGGTTCACATTGCGTGCAGCACATCAAATGGTTCTTACGCCATATGAAATTCATCGTGGGTTCGCTCACCCAGTCATGGTGATAGGAAAACAATTTTTTTTTTCATCATTTTTGTTCCTCCATCCCAAGAGAGACGAGAGATATGAATTTTCAAAAAGAGGGTGATTTGCAGTGGATTTGAGCTTTGTTGCTAAACATCTCCTTAACAAAGCGCTGGAGACAAAAATTTTATTAAATTTTGTTTGCAAATAATTCTCTGGAGCGACCCTCACAATATGTGTAATGAGTTTTGGGACACCTTATATACAGAGACTTACGTGTTCAAATGCGTACAACCATTGGTCTACTCTTGATTTGGGGCCCTCGGAAGTGATTTTCTGTTTGGTTTTGAAGTGGTCTTCGATGGCTTTATTCGAGGGCACCTCCCCTCCGTATGCCTAAAATAATGATGAATTCTATTTGTGTTGTCTTAGAAATAACAAGAAGAATAAATAGGTATAAGTTATTTATCTGGATTACGTTGTCAATTCAAAACTGAGCCATGAAATGAATGCAATTAATTAAATTGAAGTCAGTGAGTAATGTTAGTTGTTGGATCATTGTAGTAATAAGTGAAGGTAGTAATCGTTACTGAAATAATAATGATTACCTGAACTATTGCAAATATGACCCCTAAATTTTAGGCGTTGGACCTAAACTTTAGGCTAAATATTATGTACATTTTTTAAATATCCTTTTTAAGTACTCATTTTCGTTAGAAACTGACATGATCAATAATAATCAGAAGTTTCACAAAAAATTTTCAACTGTGCTATTGAATTATAATAAAAACAAGAAGAAAACAAGCGAATCTTGAATCAAATTATATTCTCAAAAAAATCAGACACTTGATCTCAGTTGATCATTTGAGTTTATGCATGAAATTCAAATTCACTCAATCCAAAAATTATTACATGGCGAGTAGAGAGCATCATTTATTTTACAATATTCGATTGAATAAATTTAAATTCAATATTTTTTCATTCTTCAGCGGGGGATTTAAATCTTCTAATCAAAGTCACCGTCCGACTATCAGTCCATTGCTCTTCTCCCCTCCTTGCCAAAGTTCTGGAGCGTCTGGCATTCGAACAGCTGTCAGCGTATCTGCTTGCGCACAATCTGCTCGATCCTCGTCAGTGTGGATTCAGATCTGGTCATAGCACGCAGACGGCCCTGTTCCGGTTTGTCAATGATGTCAGGCGGAGTGTGGATGACCGGAAAGTAACGATTCTGGTACTCTTTGACTTCTCTAAGGCCTTTGACACAGTTTCCCACCCCCTGCTCCTGGCTAAGCTGGCTGCACTGGGCCTTTCGGATGATGCTGTTGTTTGGTTCCGCTCCTACCTCATTGGCCGTTCCCAGGGAGTCAAGGGCGAGCACGGGCTCTCATCATTCCTTCTGACCAATGCTGGAGTACCCCAAGGGTCGATTCTTGGTCCTCTTCTATTCTCCATCTTCATCAACGACATTGGGAGTAGGGTACTGGAGGCTCAGCAACTTCTGTACGCAGACGACTTCCAAATCTACCTGGAGTGTCACCCATCAGAATTGGCTTCTGGAATCCAGCGCTTGAATTCTGACATCCTTCGGATTCAGCGTCAACGCAATTAATGTTGCTGCCCTGGCTGCACTTGGCTGCGACGGCGCTGCCATTGAGTTCGTTGGCAGTGTCAGGAACCTCGGTGTCCTGGTCGACAGAAAGTTGACTTTTGGCTCTCACATCCAGCACGTGGCTTCTAAGATCAATTCTGTTTTCTACCAGCTCTACAGTCTACGAAGCTATGCTGATATACCGCTGCGCAAGCTGCTGCTCAATGCGTTAATCTTCCCCAACGTCCTCTACTGTCTTGCTCTATTGCAGGGTGTGGGTGTTGTGCTCGATTTGAAGCTGGAGCGTATGATAAATCGGGCAGTGTGCTTTGTGACTGGGTTGCCTCGGGACGCGCCGATCTCGGTGGCTCGGAGGAGTCTGGGCTGGCTATCGATCTCGGGGTACAGGACGGCGGCCATTGCCTCGATAATGTACCAGGTTCAGCGCTCTGGTGTCCCGTCGTACCTCGCCGAGCTCTTCACACGTCCAGCAGGCCACGTCGTGAGGTGTTAGCGCAGCAGGCTCTAGCTGTGCCAAATTATCGCACTGAAACCTATAGAGCTGCTTTCGCCGTTGCTGGTTCCGAAATCTGGAATGGGATCCCCAGGTCCATCAGAGAGCTGCCGTCGCCGGCCTCATTCAAGTCCCAACTGCGACGGGGCTGATTGACGAGGAAACGCCGGACTGAAGGTGTACTCTTCCTCTGGGCTGCTAATTCGACCCTCCATTGTGTGCTTAATGAAAGTGCTGTACTCACTGCTATAACGCTTGCTTATTGCTCTGAATTGACTTATTCTCTTTCTGCATTTGCTTGTATTCTGTCCTATCACTTGTATTCTTTTGTTTAAATTTCTAAATAATAAACTTTTCATTTATCTATCTATCTATCCCCCCTCTACTGGGTTCCCACTTTGTTGTAGTGAGGGGGCTCGGTCACGGTCTCTGGAGGTCTTAAGGACTACCGCTGTCCGCGGTCGCTACGAGGAGCCCACCCAATCCATGTGTGTGAGTGGCGTAAGAATGCGTGGCACAGGGGGAGCTGTGTCGCTAACGATGCCTCTCAGAAACCTGGGCGACCTCTGAGAGTAGTCTTGGGTGTAACCCACCCGAGACAAGCCAAGCCCTGGGCAATCGCGGCAATGCACCAGGTGAAAACGCTTAACCGCGGTACTCGTGGGACTAAAATGGAAACCAATTTAAAAAATCTTAATATTGAAAAAGCAACTTCGGGTGGGGCCAGCGATGGCGAACACACGAAGTCTGACAAGGCTGACCAGTCTGGTACCGATGTGAATCGGGTCAGACTGAGTGGAGCCGAGAGAAGACGTCGCAAGAGAGCGAAGCTGCATCAAACCTCGGGGGCGATTGCAACCTTGACGGATGCAGCAGCGAAGGTCGATGAGGGGCGGGGGGAAGGGGCTATGAGGAAGGCAATAAAACGCCTTCCATCGGAGCGTACTACGCCAAGCCCCTCAGTCAGACCGAAAGAAAAGAGAATGAGAACGCAGGATCAGGGCACATATGCTCAGAACACTACGAGCTCATTCAAGTTTGCAGTTATGCCGGAGTCATATCCGGATCAGAAACTGGGCACTGAAGAGGTAACGGAGGTGAAGAAACTCCTGAAGAGGGCCATTCTGGCGTTACCTGACGGGGTGAAAGCACCCACCTTCAACGGTGTCTGGGAAAGAGAAGGTGTGGCAATGGTGTGCTGCACTGATGAGGAAACGGGAAATTGGCTGAAAAGCCTTTTCCCCGAAAACAAAATAGCTGGACTTACTGTACGTGTGGTCGCAGCCTCGGAGCTTCCCAAGAAGCACAGGGTTGTACTACACGTGGAAGACCCAGATCTAACCGCTCAAGAAGCACTGTGCTTCCTTGAGAAACAAAATGCAGGACTGCAGGCCAGAGAGTGGGTTGTCGCTCGGGGCAGTGAGAGTAGGGACGCGAAAAGTGCCCACTTCGTTGCGCTGATAGACGACCGAGAACTCTCTGTTCTGAAAGCCTGCAACTTCAGACTGCACTGCGGGATTCAAAAAGCAACTGTCAAGCTGCTTGCGAAAGACCGTGGTGAAAGTCAGAAGAAGGGTACATAGAGGTACCAGGAAAGTAGTCATCATTATGGCTGCAACCCGGGTGCACATTGTACAGATAAATTTGCACCACAGCAAAGCAGCCTCGGCTACTCTAGTCAGGCTGTTAGCTGGGATGCAGACTGTCATAGCAATGATCCAGGAACCATGGATAGTGGACAATGCTATTAAGGGCCTCAGTGGTTGTGGCAGAATCTATCACGCAAACACTCAGGAGAAAATTAGATCTTGCATTGTTATTAAAGGACTAGACTCTTTCTTCTGTTCACAGGCTAGTGAGGGAGACCTGGCTGTGGCACAAGTGGATCTGGGCCTGGGACAAGGCGAGGAAATGAGCCTGGTTGTAGGGTCAGTTTACATGCCCTATGACTCGGCTGAACCACCTCCTTCGAAAAAAGTAAAGGACCTATGCAACCATGTGAAGGAAAGGGGACTTGAACTCCTGCTAGGTTGTGATGCCAACTCGCACCATGTAGCATGGGGGAGCACCGGCATTGACGGCAGGAGGGAAAGCCTCCAGGAATTCATAATGGGGGCCGGTCTAAATATCCTTAATAGGGGGTCAGAACCTACCTTCATAGATCGAAGACGACAGGAGGTCATAGATATCACTCTGGGGACGGATAGAGTGGCAGACATGATTGGGGACTGGAGGGTCTCAAAGGACCTCTCAGCGTCCGATCATCAAACCATAAGAAT